TGCCAACGGAGAACTAAGAGAGCCATAGAATAAGAGAGTGAAACAAGCAAGAAAACTAGACCATTAAGCAAACTAGAAAATAGAGGGAGGGGGGGAGGACCTACGAGTGAAGTTGGCAACAATGGCAACTTTGAATGTGTTCACAAGTGGTGGTTGTTCGTGCTAGTTGTTGCCAATAGAGAACTAAGAGTCCTAGAATAAGAGAGTGAAAGAGGCAAGAAAAACATAACGGACAATGAGAAATGTGGAGTCAACCGGAAATCAAATCGTGATCAAACCATGATGTCATAATTAGATTAAAAATTATAAATAAATAAAAAAATAGATATTTTCTCTTATATTAACTGTACAACGAAACAAAGCATAGTCTAAGGCTTTAATAAAACGTTTGGATTCTCTAAATTTTTTTCCTCTGCAATACTCTTGAAGTAGTCTAAAACGACGTTGTTTTGGTTAGTAAAATGATGTCGTTTTAGTCAATAAATATAAATAATAATAAAAAACAAAAATAAACAAAAAATGGATGCTTCTTGGAGGTGAACCCAACGCATCGAAGAGAGTGAGAAGACCATGTTACACATCGAAAAGAGAGAACAAGGAGAACGGAGAGAGAGATAGAGACAAGACCGTTGGGAGAGATGAAGGCCAAATGGACTCGACAAAGAAGAATGTTCCCGTTGGCAACTTTCTCAGCAAACAAACAACTAGCTAACTGTCTCTGTTATTACAAGTACAACATTTTGGTCTCACAGAGGTGAAATTAGTTCTCTCCTACTAGCCCCGTAACGAAATAAGAGTCAAATCTCATAACAAGTTATTCTTTTGTCAAACAATGGACAATGAGAACCACATGTTTCTTGTTTTAACCTCATATTGTGACTAACAAACTTTTGATGTTCATCTTATTATGAGGAAATTTTATTTTACCCTAAACTATATCTCGATGATCAATTTAACCAATGTACTTCTTATAATTTCAATTTTACACTTAAAAGTATTTAATTTTGGATCAATTGTACCCCTGCTATTAATTGTCATTTATAATCAAATGGAAGTTGCTAATGTGACACCAAAATATCGCTTGAAATTTTATTTTGCCCCCCAAACTATTTCAAAAATATCAATTAGACCCCCAATCTTCATATTGTCTAGGGGTCTAATTGATATTTTGGGAATAGTTTGGGGATAAAATGAAATCTCAAATGAAGACGGTAACAAGTGTTGTCTAATTATAGACGGCAGTTGACGGCAGGGTTGAAATTAATCCAAAATTAAATAGTTTAGGTGTAAAATTGAAATTGTAAGAAGTACATGGGTTAAATTGATCATCATGGTATAGTTTGGAGGGCAAAATGAAATTTTCTCTCTTATTATTGGAGGTGGAAAAAAAAAACAGAAAAAAACAAAGAGAGAAAGAGGAAAAGGATTAACATATTTGCAATCAATTTAAGTACTAAAAATGGGATTAACAAATCAAAAAAATAATATAGCTTTATTGCCTCATATTGTATTTATTTACTGATAAATAAATCAATTCAATACAATAATTGACACTCTTCAAGACCCAAAAAACAAAAATGCCTCACAAAACGACTAATAAGTTTATCACTTCAAAATTCATTGCCTCAGGTGAGCGAGAAAAAAGATGACGAGAAAAGAACCAAAAATGATGTTGGAAACCGGTAATGAGAAGGCCACTCCAACATCCAGTGACGAAATCGGAGCAATAGCGCTATCCTATGCAGAGACGGTGACGGCAGCCATGGAGAAGACCACAACGGCGAAGGCCAGCATGTACGAAAGAGGAAGTGTTGGCCTACGACAAGGGCCAGTAGCAGAGAGGGTAAAGGATAGGTGGCCATAGTAGGGAAGGTGGGGAGGGAGGTGGAATAAGAGAAGGAAGAGAGATCTTTTTTCAATTTTTGGGCTTGGTCAAAACAAGATTTATTACAAAATGACATTGTTTTGCATTACTATAGATGGAGTAATCCTAAGGATCCAAACTCTTCAATCAAAATAAAATATAACAGCATCTGACATGACATCATATAAACCAAGTTCTATAACACCGAATTAGGGTTCAGAATATTGAGTCAAATAAAAATTCTCTCTACATTTGTGTTAACAAAAATATAAGAAGAAAAATAAGTTTCACAGTAAACCGAAAACTCATGTCTTAAAAGGAACTAACTTCTTTGCAATGCTTCGTATTATATCCAATATATTATAACTTCAAAAGAAAGGCAACTAAAGATATATGTACATAAATGAAGCCCCAAAAAACAAAAATATATTTGACCAAAAAAAAAAAAATCACATAAAATTACAAAGAAACTATTTCCATCCTCAGCAACAAACAAACAAACAACTGAGGTAATGGACAACAAAGAAAAACCAAAAATGGAACTCATAAATGCTGTATGAACTCACACCCTATAAACTGAATAAACAAAACCGATGAGAATGAATAATATAAATTTTGTCAAATACAAATTACATAAAGCCTTAGTTTATGTATGAGTTCGCTTCCGATTTAATTTCAAAAGGGATGAAACTTCAATTCAAATAACAAAGGATGCACAATTATAAAATAAGAGGAACAATTATGATCGTATGTCATTAGATGATAAAACGGGCGGGGGAAGAAGAAGAGAGGAATGGCTACCTAGATTGTGGCTTGTGGAGGTCATGGGCAAGTTTTGCCGAGTGTCGAGTTACGCTGCCAATTGGAAGAGAACAAGTTGTCTATGGTTGTCGCTCAGTTGGAGTGAACATAGATGAGAGATCTCCAAGAGAGAGAATCGCAAATGATTTGAGCCCTAATTTAAAAGGGGAAATTCTTTGTGTACTATATGGCGGCTATTATATTTGTGGTATTGATTATGATTAATTGTAATGTTACTTATAAGTTGTGACTCCATTATGATTTCAGGTGATTTTTATTTTAAGGATAAATTACACTTTAAACCCCTACACTTTGCACAACCCTGCACTTTTGGTCAAGTGTCAATGTCCCCCTTTGTTACTCCACATCATATAAGTCTTTAACAGAAGTCAGTCATGTGACAAACATATGACTATGAAATAAGGGCAATGGAGAAAAATCACCGTCATTTTTTGCCTATACACCCTCATTTACATCCTAATTTGATGTTAATTTTGGAACGAAGTGTGTATTGGCAGGAAATGGGAATGATTTTCCCCTTTTGTCCCCATTTCATAGTCACATAACTACCACATGATTGGCTAACATAAAGAGGATATTGACACATGACCAGAAGTGCAGGGGGTTGACTACCACGATTTCATGCGTATGAACTAAAGTGGGACAACCATAGACAACTTGTTCTCTTGCACTTGGCAGCATAACTTGACACTCGGTAGAACCCCAACCACGACCTCCACGAGCCACAATCCAAGTAGCCACTCTTCTCTTCTTCCTCTCCCCCCACCCATTATATCATTTGATGAGATACTATCATAATTGTCCCTCTTATTTTATGATTGTGCATCCTTTGTTATTTGAACTGAGGTTTGAAGGTTTCATTCCCACTGAAAATTAATCGAAAGAGAACTCATATACAAACTAAGGCTTTATGGGAGTGTTTGGCAAAGGATTTTTTTTAGCTTTTTGGACTAAAATCCACAAAAAGATAAAATATTCTTAAATAGTCAATAAGATAAAATATCACATCAAATCCATAATCATTTCATTTTTTCTTTCATAAACATCACATCCAATTACAAAAAAAATTCAACTCTCTTCCCAAACACAAATATTTTAGTCTATTAAAATAGACTACTAAAATAACTAACTTTCCAAATGAGGCCTGTGTAATTCGTATGTGGTAAAATTTATGTGATCCATTCTCATATGTTTCGTTTATTCATTTTATAAGGTGTGAGTTAGTAATGCATTTACTAGTTCCATTATAGTTTTTCTTTGTTGTCCATTAATAGGTTACGGTTGGTCAAACTAATATCAATGTTATTAATCCGGCACACAATTTTAACTAAACAACTCCACAATTATTCCTCAATCCACCATCAAAATATCACTAATAAATGAGTGCACCCAACTAATAATTAAAATATCTATTACATCAACCAAGTTCACTATCAATTTTTTGTTATCCGAATATCCCATAAGTCGTACGCTTTAAATTATCCTAATTTTTCATATGCTAACTCGTCACTCTTAAATTTAATGAATTAATACAACTAAATCTTTAAAGTACAAATTAGTCAATCACTTCATAGACCAAGTTCAAACAACTGATTTTAATTACTACCGAATCCAAAATCTAAATGACATAATTCTCCTCATGATTTGTTTTGCACTATATATGTTATCCCCCTAGGAAATTACTCGGCCAATAGGGGAAACAGAGGAGAAGGTCTCTTAGTAGAACATCATACTCCAATGAGGAATTGTCATCATGTCCTACCTAGTAGATCCCACTCACCAGATAAAATAAGACCACAACCACAACACTAAATACAAATGTTGTACATCTACATAAGCAACTAGCTTCTACCATTCTTCTACTTATCAAACATCAATAATCCAGGTTCAACAATTTACCAAAATCTCACTGATGAGCAAGCTCCCAAATCAAAGATATACCGGGTCGTTGCTTAAAAACCAAATCATGTTGCCCAAATATTTTCTTTGTATCAATATCCCTATATAATGCAAACACATAATATATATGACCATAACCTCAAAATCAAATATAACTCAACCATAACCCCTAAACACCCGCAAGTGTCAATTCATGGGAAAACTGAGAACAGAAGAACAAAAAAACAGAGCGATTGTCAATTTAGGGGAAGCAAATCAGCGACAGATTTGCATAGATTGACAATATTTTGAATCAAAATATTCGAATCGTTACAAACAAGATCTAAGCTCTACATTTTCATACACATGCACCGAGAAAGGGGAACAAAATATCAAAAAAATGTCAGAATATATTAGATTAGACAGACAGAGATACCTGTGAAAAGTACGGTGGTGAATGAGGGAGCCGGTGGTGGTTCAGATTGATGGCAGTGACGGATCGGCCCGCGCTGGTGGATGACGACAGCTGTGACGGCGGTGTACATAGACAGAGGAGGGGATACCAGTGAGAGCTACGGTGGTGGACGGCGTTGGTGGTGCTGGTTGACGGCGGTGGGAATGGGCTAGCCGTAGAGGATGAATTCAGTCGTAACGGCGGTGTACGGGAGGACGGCTGTGAGTCGAGGAGGAGGAGGAGGAGGAGCGTTTTTATTTTAGGTAAAATAAGCGTGAATTTGGTTGGTGGAGATTTCAAAACGGTTTGGGTGTTGTATTTGATTAAAATTTTTAAAAATTTATTTCTAAAATTACGTTTTGCTATTGATCCTCCAAATTTTACGTAATACTGAGCCTGTTTCGTTTTTGGCTTTGCATTGCTTATTCATTTCATTCAAGAATCGTATGGTCATACATAGTGCATCATTATGGATCCTTATAAAATTAAATTTTTATGAACTTGTCAAATTTCACGCGATTCGGAGCCTGGTCTATTTTTGGCTTTTGCATGGTCATGCATGCTGCATCATCACGATTCCTAAAATCATGTCTTCTACTCACTTGTCAAATTTTACATGATTTTGAGCCCGGTTCATTTTTGGCTTTCGCATTGCCTATCCATTTGATCCAAAAATTGTATGGCCATGTATGCTGCATCATCGTGGATCCTATCTAAAATCACATTTTCTACTGACCTATCAAATTTCACACGATTCCGAGTCCGATCCATTTTTGGCTATCGCATTGCCTGTCCATTTGATACAAAAATCGTATGGTCATCTATGCTGTATCATCATGCATCCTTCCTAAAATCACGTTTTCTATTGACCCGCCAAATTTCTTGCGATTGGTTCCTGGACCATTTTTGGCTTTTGTATTGCCTATCCATTTGATCCAAGGATCATATGGCCATGCATACTACATTATTACGGATCCTTCTTAAAACCACGTTTTTGACTGACCCGTCAAATTTCACACGATTCAGAGCCTGACCCATTTTTGGCTTTCGCATTGCCTGTTCATTTGATCCAAGAAACGTATGGCCATGTATGCTGCATCATCATGGATCCTTTCTAAAATCACATTTTCTACTGACCAGCCAAATTTCATGCGATTCCGAGCTCAGCCCGTTTTTGGCTTTCGCATTACTTGTCCATTCAATCCAAGAATCGTATGGCCATGCATGCTGTATCATCATGGATCCTTCAAAAAATAACGTTTTCTATTGAGCCGCCAAATTTCACGAGATTCTGAGCCCAGCCCGTTTTTAGCTTTCACATTGCTTGTCCATTTGATCCAAGAATCGTATGGCCGTGCATGTTGCATCATCATGGATCCTTCCTAAAATCACATTTTTTATTAACTCCACATTTCGCGTGATTCTGAGCCCAACTCGTTTTTGGCTCTAGAATTGCATAGTCATTTGATGTAAGAATCGTATGGCCATGCATGCTGCATCATCATGGATCTTTCTTAAAATCACGTTTTCTACTAACCCGCCAAATTTCACGCGATTCCAAGCCTAGCCCGATTTTGGCTTTTGAATTGCCTGTCCATTTGATCCAAGAATATCGTATGGCCATGTATGCTGTATCATCAGGGATCCTTTCTAGAATCACGTTTTCTACTAACCCGCCAAATTTCAAGGGATTCCGAGCCCAGCCTATTTTTGGCTTTCGCATTGCCTGTCTATTTGATCCAAGAATTAAATAGCCATGCATGCTGCATTATCATGGATCCTTACGTAATTCGCATTTTCTACAAACTCGCCAAAATTTCTCGTGATTTCGAGCCCAGCCCGTTTTTGGTTTTGCATTGCCTGTCAATTTGATCCAAGAATCGTATGGCCATGCATGCTGCATCATCATGGATCCTTCCTAAAATCGCGTTTTATACTGACCCGCCAAATTTCACGCAATACCGAGCCTGACCCATTTTTGGTTTCGCATTGCCTAACCATTTGATCCAAGAATCATTTGGCCATGCATGCTACATCATCATGGATCATTCCAAAAATCATGTTTTCTACTGACCCGCCAAATTTCATGCGATTCCGAGCTTGGCCTGTTTTTGACTTTTGCATTGCCTATCTATTTGATCCAAGAATTGTATGGCCATGCGTGCTGCATCATCACAGATCTTTCCTAAAATCACGTTTTGTATTGACCCGCCAAACTTCACGCGATTCAGATCCCAGTCCGTTTTTGGCTTTCACATTGTTTGTCCATTTGATCCAAGATTCGTATAGCCATGCATGCCGTATCATTATGGATCCTTCCTACAATCACATTTTCTACTGACTTGCCAAATTTTAGGTGATTCGGAGCCCGGCTCATTTTTGGCTTTCGCATTGCCTGTCCATTTGATCCAAGAATTGTATGGCAATGCATGCTGCATCATCATGGATCCTTCATAATATCACGTTTTCTACCGGCTCGCCAAATTTCAAGCAATTTTGAGCTGGGCCCATTTTTGGCTTTCACTTTGCCTGTCTATTTGATCCAAGAATCGTACGGCCATGCACGTTGCATCATCATGGATCCTTTCTAAAATCACGTTTTCTTCTGACCAGCCAAATTTCATGTGATTCCGAGCCTGGCCCAATTTTGGCTTTCGCAATGCCTATCTATTTGATCCAAGAATCGTATGGTCATGCATACTGCATCATCACAGATCCTTCCTAAAATAAGGTTTTGTACTGACTCACCAAATTTCACGCGATTTCGAGCCCAACTTGTTTTTGGCTTTCGCATTGCATGTCCATTTGATCCAAGAACCGTATGGCCATGCATGTTGCATCATCATGGATCCTTCCTAAAACATGTGTTCTACTAACCCGCCAAATTTCATGTTGTACAGAGCCCGGCTAGTTTTTGGCTTTCGAATTGCCTGTCCATTTGATCCAAGAATCATATGGCCACGCATGCTGCATCATCCTGGATTCTTCCTAACATCACATTTTCTATTGACTCGCCAAATTTCACGCGATTTCGAGCTTGGCCCAATTTTGGCTTTCGTATTGCCTGTCCATTTGATCCAAGAATCGTATGGCCATGTATACTGCATTATCATGGATCCTTTCTAAAATCACGTTATCTACTAACTTGCCAAATTTCACCCAATTCCGAGCCCGACCCATTTTTGTCTTTTGCATTGCCCGTCTATTTGATCAAAGAATCGTATAGCCATGCATGTTGCATCATCATGGTTCTTTCATAAAATCACGTTTTCTACTGACTTGCCAAATTTCACGCGATTCGGAACCCGACCTATTTTTGGCTTTCGCATTGCCTTTTGATTTGATCCAAGAACCAAATGGCCATGCATGCTGTATCATCATGGATCTTTCTTAAAATCACGTTTTCTATTGATCCGCCAAGTTTCACGTGATTCCGAGCTCTTCCCGTTTTTGGCTTTCACATTGCATGCCTTTCTTTTTGAAAAATCGCGTTTATGCCAGAAAAAGCGTGTTTATACCGAAACAAAGTGAAGTACGGCTCAACGAAAAAAACACGTTTATGCTAAAATCTTAGAAATTTACCTTTCCATGCCATCCAAGGTGGCTATCCAATCTTTGAGCTTCTCAGCAAGAAATATCTCCATTTTTAGGTGAAACAACAACAAAAATGAGGTTTTGTCAAAGAAATAGTGAAGGAAGACTTTTGTAGAGGATAAGGTTGTGTGAGTAGATGCCAGCTTTCAGCCAGCTGATGAGCCACCACACTTGGCCAGTCGGCCACTCCTCTTGGCTGGCGGTCCCTTTTAGTGGCCAGTCGTCCCCTTTTGTTGGCCTAGCAGTTCGGTAGTCTGGTTTTGTTCCAGTCTTTGTGCTTTGAGGTCTTGTTTTGAATCTTTTGTTTTTAGCAAGTATAATAGCTGTGTTTAGGTTGTTTTTACTTTGTTTTCCACTTATCGAGTTGTATTTTGTATTTTGGTCGTTAGTCGGCTCATTATTCGATTAAGAACATCATTCCAATACAAGAATTTTCAGTTTTAAATACCATTCTATTTCCATTCTATGCAAGTGTGGTGCTCATGATACAAAACAAAGCTCTTTTTATAAAATTACAGGGTTTTCCCCCGATCATAATTTTTACAAAAGAGGGAATACAAGTGTTTCCAAAAACAAAAAGTAAAGACCTATCTGAAGCTATACAAGTGCTAAGCTACCAAAACAAAATAAAATAAGTAAAAGAGTTCAAAAATCTGCGCCAATTGTATCAAGCTCGAGAGGCCCTCTTAGTCCTCTTCCTCGAAGGAGACTCAGGGGCACTGTCTCCGTCGGCGCCGCTATCATCAGAAGAGTGGGACACCGAGCCAGAGTTAGTATCGCCATCTCCACTCCCTGACTTAGAGCCAGTCTCGGCATCCTCCTCGCTTCCTGACCTTGAGTCAGAATCATCATCCTCGCTTTCAGACGACTTAGAGTGTCAGCTCACTATCTCCTTGGTGCTGCTGGTCTCAACATCATCTCCACTCAAAATCGGTTCCGAGGAGGAGGAGGTCTCCTTTGTCTGGGACACGCTGCTTCTACCCTGAGCACCTCTACCTCGACGCTTATCTCAGCTACGTACTGGGGCCTACCTACCTTTTCTCCTTGCCGCTAGAGGAGGTGCTGCTGCTGCTGCTGTTGCGGGTGCTGTTGATGCCCTCGGTGCAGGTGGGATCTAAAAAACAAGCATTACAGTATCAAATGTAGTATGAGTATGATACAGAAGATAGATTCAGCATAAGTATAGTGTGTCAGTGCAGTGTATCAATGCAGGGTAAGGCAATATTAGAATGCATGTCAATATACAGTGTATCAGTATGCACAAGTCGCAGCATGTTGGCCAAGGCTGTGGTCTGTGCTGTTGTATGCTGGCTAAGGTTGTGGCTTATGCTCCAGCATGGTGGCCAAGGCTGCGGCCTGTGCAGCTGGCAAAGGCTGCGGCCTGTGTTGCTGGCCAAGGCTGTGGCTTGTGCTGCAGCACACTGGCCAAGGTTGCGGCATGCTAGGCAAGGCTATGGTCTGCGCTATAGCATTCTAAACAAGGCTGTGGCATGCTGGCCAAGGTTGCGGCTTGTGCATCAGTATTCTGGCCAAGGTCGCAGCCTGTGCGGTAGTATGCTAGCCAAGGCTGTGGCCTCTGTTGCGGCCGGTGCTGCTAGCCAAGGTTGTGGCCTGTGCTGCAGCATGTTGGCCAAGGCTGCGGCCTGTGCTGTTGGCCAAGGTTGCGACATACAGGGCAAGGCTACGGCCTGTGCTACAGCATGTTGACCAAGGCTGCAGCATGCTGAGCAAGGCTGCGACTTGTGC